GGGGAGGGAGGGAGGGAGGGAGGGGGAGAGGGAGACACCCAGCTGGCAACTGGACTTTCTGGTTTTTCTTTGAGGGCGTTTCTCTTCTCATCCAAGAAGCTTCTTCAGCTCTGACTGGATGGTGGGGAATTGTTGTCCCTATTATACCAACCTTACCGGCTCCTTCTCTGTTCAAACCCTTTGAAAGAAACTCTTTCAATTAAAAAAAAAGGGATCAGATGAGAATCCACCGTGGTATGCAGCAAAGCATTAACCCCCCCAGTCATTTCCCAAAGGTTGCTGCGCCAATTTGGATTCTTGGAGTTGTTTTAGCAATCTCATCAAATTACACTTTCCTGGATTCTTCGGGATGGGGAAGAGATGAGGGGGTGGGGGTGGGGGGGAACAGGCAAAACAGTTAACTGGAATGAAAACGATATAAATGCGTAGCCTTAAGAATGTGGTTCCCATCCCAGCTTACAGCCTGACAGCCACATCCAGGCAGAAACGCCAGAAAAGAGGAACATTATCTTGGCAGCGAAAGGCTGGCCGGGAAGAGGCGTCCAAACCTTTCGCCATCGTTAACTGCCAGGAAATGCCTTGCTCTGGAGTCATGATTATCAAATGAAGTGCAAGAGAAAGTTTGACCAAGCCTTAACATTAAACAAAAAGGGGGGGGGGAAGGAATATCGTTGCTCTCAGAAGACGACTCTGTGTCCCCCTTGAAGTCGCTTCGTGCAAGCGTAGGAGAAGCCTTGCATGGCGTCGTCCCTCTAATACGGTTTTACTTCGTAGTAATGTAAGGGTAGAGGAAGAAAATTGGGGCTTTGGGTCCACCGTTCTTATAACTACACCGGGCTTGGTATCTTACGCTTTTTGTTGGTTTGTGCTTTGGAGCCGGTGCTGAATTCTGACGGCTGCCTAGACCGATCCCTGCCGTTTTCTTGGCAAGATTTCAGAAGCAATTTCTCATTTCTCTCCTTCTTGGGCTTGAGGGACGATGACCAACCCAAGATCCCCCATGTGGTATTCACTTACTTTCCCGACCAGGTCGCGAGTGAGAGTGCATGCGCCCCGACGCCGCATGCACACAGCTGTCTGTGCATGCGCTTTGCTCGTTCACACGGCATGCACACGGCTTGAAAACATGCCTAAATAGGACGGCATAGAGCTGGGGTGGGTGAGCAGGCCCACCTGTGATTTCAGCCAAACCGGCTGAATACGACCTCTGCCCCAGCTGTCATTAGTGCCCAAGGCAGGACTAGAACTCACAATCTCCTAGTTTCTAGCCCAGTGCCTTAGCCATTACACCAGACTGGCTTTTCCTGGGCTTTACCTAGTAGTACCAATTTGTCACTATTATCTCCATCAACATCCAGAAACAACTTTATCTATCTATCTATCCATCTATCCATCTATCCATCTATCCATCTATCTATCATCTATCATCTATCTATCTATCTATCTATCTATCTATCTATCTATCTATCTATCTATCTATCATCTATCTCATTGTCTGCCTCT